TGGAGCCACTTCTCTGTCATTGTTCATTTTGTTGAATATTTTGTCCCATCATAGTGGAGGTCCAGTCTGCTAGTAGAAACCTCTCGGGAAAATTTGGGTGTACACTAGGATTCTTAAAGCATTGATTTTATCCTAAAACCATGCTCATTTTTCAGAGTCAAGAGACCAATGTCTTCGTTTGCTTTCTACTACTGATGTGATGTGAATAAACCGACCTCTTTTCAGGGTTTGTATGAGACAGATACTCTCAAGAGTATAGGACAGACAAATGTCTGCAAAACATACATCTGGCTAAGTCTCAAGCAAAGAGCTGATCAGTCACATTTGAAAAAACTGAGCTCTGAGCTGCCTGGGTGGCTCAGTCAGCTGAGCCTCTGACTCTTGGTTTCAGCTCAGGTCATGATCTCAGGGTCTTGGGATCAAGCTCTGGGTTGGGCTCTGTACTCAGCTTGGAGTCGGCTTGAGATTCTCTCTCTTTCTCTGCCCCCCCTGCCCCTCCGCTCGCTCACTCTCTCTCTCTCTGGAATAAATAAATCCTTTAAAAAATACATAAAAAATTTTAAAAACCTCGCTCTAACTTTAGAAAGTGCACAAGTTTTAAGTTTTACTTATGCACACATCCATGTAAATTTTCACTTTTTAAAGGCTGCAATGACTGATTTAAGGGTATATGCAACAATATGGCAATACTGAAAACAACCCCAGGCCACATAGTTGGGTCAAATCGAGTTTGATTACCGGGGAAGTATTTAACATTCACACCTAACTCACTTTATTTGCTATTAATGTATCTTCTAATAGAACTATCTTGTACTCTATCTTATGCTCTAACCTTTCATACTGTTGGGCTGCCTCTTTAAGGCTCAAGTGGCTTTCCCAACTAAGATCTCTTCATCATTTTCTGAGTACCTGCCAAGGGCAGAGTACTAAACTTAGTGCTCATGGAATACTGAGCGAGCCAGGAGCATCTGCCCTCGAGGACATTTCACAGATGGGGCAAAAAAGATTCCAGGCAGAAAGGTAGCTCAAACGTTATGCAGAATCGCACTAAGTGAAGTGCTAATACCAGAACTTGGAAATTCTGCTCCAAGGTCACTTGATCCATTTCCCTTCTTAGAAATTCCCTGCACTGGCCCTGACTCCCCTAGTGAGAAGTCACCTTTACCTGACTCTGCTCCAGGTGACGATTTTCCTTTTCCTCCATCTCTTGCTTGATGCTGCTGGAGCCCAGTCCATCAGAACTCATCTTTCCAAGCCACTGGATGTTGGTCAAGCTGCTGTCGAGAGTGCAGCCTGCTGCCTCGCCTCCAGCTAGAGGGGAAACAATCCAAGATGCCACTTAGCTGCCTGATCCAGTGTGTGCCAGGCCCATCAAAATCGGAGGTTGGGGAGCATCTCTCCGAGACCTCTACCCGTAGGGACAGGGATCACATGCTGAATCTATTGTGGCCCTCAGGTACTCTGCCCCATTAAGGATTTCAGGAGAAATTCAGGAGAGATCAGTCAAGGCAACCTTAACAAAGAGTTAGTATTTGCACAAACAAAGTCACTTTTCCTCCTCATGCTTCAGTTTTCTCCTTTATTAAAATGGAGAAAGATTTCTATTTCCTTATACGGTCGACGGGGAAGATAACTCGCAAAAATAAACAAATCCTTTCCTAATTTAAAGAAAGTAAGAGAAATGCTAAATTATAATTTGGGCACTTTCAACAGCGCCCAAAGGATCTGGGTCAAGGATTCAGGATGAAGACAGACAAGACTTTCCCCTGGTTCAGGCTAGGTGCCTGTCTGTTAAGTATCAACGTGACGGACTGCAGTCCTTGCCACCAGAGAGGAAAGGCTGGGCTCCTCATCCCTTTGCCTTGCAGACCACATACCACAGCTCTCCCATCTCTGCCCAGGAAGGGCTCCAGGTGGTCTAGGAAGATTCACATCCCTAGCTGCCGGCTTTGGTCCCAGGGTCTCGGTGACCACTTCTGTCCTCTTGGGATCATTGCTGGTTTGGGCTTGAGGCTGGGGTCCTGGAGGGCGAGTGGGGGCTCCCCCACAGCTGATGAGGATGAATTTGTTGGGCCCACTGCTGCCACTCTCTTTTCCTTTGGCGGTCAATGCTGTGATGATGCTCTGGATATTGGCATTGTTAGGGACGGCCACCACTTGGGTGTTGGGCATGGTGGGGTGGTTAATGATCTTGATCCCAGCTGGAAACTTGCAAGAGTTGGACTCTGCCGCCTCCTTGGAAGCCTGTGCTTGGCCAGGCTCTTGTTGGGCAGGGGGCCTCTTAGGTTCCTCTCCTGATGTTTCACCTGGGGCATGTTGAACAGGAAGGGGCAGCCTCCGTCTTTTGAGAATCAGTGGCCGACGGGGGCTGGTTTTCATTATGAATCTGTGCTTTCACTCTCCATTGAGAATCACAAGCATGGGCCCTGGAAAGTGCAAGGAACAGCAGGATGTCAGAGATTTGTTAGGCTGAGAAGGAGGTACTGCTAGAGAGAGGCGTTCCTCTTTCCATGACCAAAAGCATGAGCCCACAGGCCCAGGTTAATGATCCCTGGGCCTCTGTAAAGACCTCAGACAATAAGGGGATGAGTTCTATGACAAAAGAAGGCTAAAACTGAAGCATTTCAAAAGGGGAAAGCAGGACTGGGTTGAAGGTCAACACGGCCAAAGGTCTTCCGGAAGCTTAAGAATGTTTGGCTACAGAAATGAGTGGGACAGTTAAAAAAATGTGGAAATTTCTATTATTGCTTATTATACTACAGATCACTTGCAGTGACTCTAGGGACAGGAATGCTGGAATTGAGGACATTTAGCAATTTGAGGAGTCCGGACAAAACTCTGATCCCGTAATCTATTTTATGATTGATAAAGCCTGTATATTTTTACACCATCTTTGTCTATAAATAAAAGGATCAGTGCCCATGGAATCAGAGGAGAAAGGCAGATTGCACTACCGCTCCCCTGCCATCATCTCCTACTTCACAAGACCTCAGAGAAAACGGAAACTGCTCTAGTCAAGGCCCCTGGGACTATTCATCTCACAGGCTATTATCCTTGCACTGGTAAAAGAAAGAGTACACTTTTCTTTCACAATTTGCAAAATATTTCTATAGCGACATTTTAGTCCTTGCGTGTGTTTATTCCTACTTTAACTTTCTAAGCATGTTACTGGAGTCCTTGATTTCTCTTCCAGAACCAAGACTATAATCCTTATCTCCTGACCAGTAGAATGTGCTGTCATCAATATGCTAAGGTGGTTCTGTCATGTTAAGGAAAATAGTTTTATCTTTAAAAAAATAAAATGTGTTTGTTGGGTGCCTGGATGGCTCAGTTGGTTAAGCGTCTGCCTCCAGCTCAAGTCATGATCCTGGGGTCCTGGGGTTGAGCCCCACATTGAGCTCCCGGCTCAGCGGGGAGTCTGCTTCTCCCTCTGCCCCTCACCCCGCTCTTGTGCTCTCTCTCTCTCAAATAAATAAAATCTTTAAAAAAAATTTCGTGTTTGTTGATTTTAATAGATACACGGGATACTCTGTCATCATGTAAAATTGTGTAATCCTATTTAAAGGTACTTTGACAGAAGAATGGGCTGTCTGTGTTAGGACATCCACTATCTCCCTAAAAATGACTGTCACAGTCTGATGACATTTGCCATCTGCTTAGAGTTCATAGGCTCTCTCCACTCTGCCTCCTCCCTTTCCTTTATAACTAGGTTTCCTCTACTTTCAAATCTCAGTTTTATTTCTACCTCTTATCTCTTCAAGCCTCCCCCCGCCCCACCAGTGAGTAAATACTATTATTCCTTCCCCAACCCCAAAAGGTATCTTCCTGGTCTAAGGCTTAATTTTGCTTTCAACTCTGATCAGTCTCTTCCTATCACGGCCAACACTTTAAGCTAGGGGACTTCCAGAGTGACCCCTCTGACACCACTGCCCATCCTGACCACGGAAACTTTGCAGGTTCTCAAAAAAAAGGATAAGGGCCCTGGAAAAGGGTGGAGTGGAGGCAGTGCGGCTCAGTGGTGAGAGCGCTTGGGAGCAGGGGAGGGTGTGGGCAGGTTTGTCTTTGACTTAACGCAGAATAAGCTCAATCTTCATGCCAGCCACGGTCTGCCTAGAAAAGTAGGCCACCCCAGCAGCCCTCCCGAGGTTGTGGGCAGGGCGCAGAGGTCAAACTTCCAGGGAAGGCCAAGAGGTGGTTTGAGAAAGAAGTGAGGACAAGGCCAGGAGGTTGGCCGGATGCAGAAAAAGTTTGCACCCTCTCTCAGCCCTCGTTCCCGTGTGGCCCCAAACCTCCACTCTGGTACCGCGCCCTGCTGCTAGACCCCCTGACCTCGGCGCCCGAGCCCGGGCTCCCTGCTCTGCCGGGGCCGGGGCTTGGACTGCATTCCTCCGCCCCCCGCTCACCTCCCGACTGCAGCCGCCGCCGCTGCTGGGCTGTGGCTCCAAGGGCGGGCTCCGGGCTCCTCCAACCTGGGGGCCGAGCCAGGGGCCCGGACAGAGACTCGCGCCAGGCCGGCCGGGTCCCCGGCGGTGCGGGAGGGGTGGGGAATCCCGGGGGATCCCGGGAGGGGAGGGGTCCCGGGCCGGGGGGCCGGGGGTGGGGTCGGGCACCGGAGCTTTCAGTTTGTTCCGCTGTTTGAAATTGGCGCCGGCGGAGCGTTGCGGTCACGTGACGGAGCGTCGCCAATCGGCGGCCGCCCTTGTCTCCGCGTTCCTCGCTCGAACGCTGCGGCGGCCCAGGGGAGCGGCGGCCGGGACGCCGCCGGGCGGGTAAGGCGGGCCCGTGGCCGGCTCGTGGGGAGGGGGCGGCCGGGGGCGGCCGGGGGCGGCCGGGAGGGCGCAGGAGGGGCCCCCGCGGCGGGCGGCGGGCGGCGGGCGGCGGGCGGGGCCGGCCGGGGCGGCGGGGAGGCGGCCCTGCCCGGGGCCGGCGCCCTCGGCCTGCGCTCCCTCGTGCGTTCTGGGTCGCTTGCCTGAGCCCTCCCCCGGCGCCGCTCCTCCCGCCTCCCTCGCCAGCTTCTGGCCTTTGTAAAGCCTCCCAGGCTTGGCTTCCCTGCTTGGGGGAAACTGCTCCATTCCCCTCCAACTAACGATCGTCTGGCCGCCTCGACTAGTCGACAGGCGTATCACGTTGTTTAAGCTTCCTCTTAAAAAAAATTCCACGCCATGATAATACTTTATTAACTTGCTCGGCACATTTTGTTGAGCGCCTACTATGTGCCAGGCCCTGCTAGGATAACAGTGGTAGGGGAGGTTCTTTGCTTACTCTGTATACAGTCTAATGGGAAGAGAGGAGACAACAGACATTTTTGAAGAATCGAATAAGCAAAAGGAGAATTATAGCTGCGAAGGGATAAATTAGAGGTCATTGATAACTGACCATCTACAATAAGATCTTGCCTTCGGTAGGTCAGGAAAGGCTTTTCCGACGGAAGCTTGTTCTGAGGTCTGATGCTTTTGTGTAAAGAAGGAAGTGAACCCCGCAAAGCAAAAGGAAGAAGATTGGGCTGTGCAAAGGCTGAAGAATATCTGGGAGTCAGAGCTGAGAGGACCTGAATAGAGTGTGGTGTGAGATGAAGCTGGAGCCAGAGGAAATAGGACCTTAGCCATAACTGAGGGAGTTTGGTCCTTATCCAGAAATCAACAGTTTTAAGCAGAAGTGAGTCAGGATCAGATTTGCATTTTTAAAAGGCTCCTCTGCAGGGGGTGCTGGAGTGGATTAGGGTAGACCCGTTTAGGCTATTGCAATACTCCAGACCAGAACTGTTGGAACTTGAAGAGTGGTGGGGAGAGAAGGAGAGCAAGAGAAAGGGGCCAAAGGGGCATTATTGAAGACATACTTAAGAGGTAAGATTGTCAGGGTTTGGTGGTGTTGGATGGGGACAGAGGTGGGACATGTCAGGGTTTCTGGCTGCATAACTAGATGAAGGATAATACCCCGAGCAAGGGCCTTGCAAGATAATCACCTGTGGAGCGGGTGCAGGGGAGATGATCATGAATTCAGTTTTAAATATGTTGAGTTTGAGGGTGCCTGGGTGGCTCAGTCAGTTAAGCGTCTGCCTTTGGCTCAGGTAATGATCCTGGGGTCCTGGGATGGAGCCCCGCATCAGGCTCCCCGCTCAGCGGAGAGCCTGCTTCTCCCTCTCCCTCTGCAGCTCCCCCTGCTTGTGTGCGCTCTCTCTCTCTCTCTCAAATAAATAAATAAATAATACCTTAAAAAGGAAAAAAAAAAAGATATTTGGAGTCAACTGGAAAACTTAAATAAGTTGAGTTTAAGGTGCATTTGAGACATCTAGTTGCTGTCAAGTAGGCAGTGGCAATGTGGGTACTGAGTGTAGAGAATTCTAAGCTGAGTGTATAAATACTTAAGTCATCCACTTGTAGGTGTGAGCCGATCATTGCCTAAGAAAGGTGTATAAAGTAAGGAAAGCTCCAAAACACAGCCAGAGGGAAAGGTTTTACAGAGCAAATGGGACTGACCTGCGATTATAGCATAAAGAGAATGGATGCAGATATATATATAGGTTTGTATGTTTGGTATCTGGAAAGTGAGTTTATTTTCTTTAACGTCTCCTACGTTCTCTGTGAAGTAGGAAATAAGGTCATTTGTTAAGAGGGAAGGGGAGTTCTAAGGTTTTAAGAAAGTGGAAACATCTTAAGATAATCTGCGGATATTGAGTTGATGAAGGGAACATAGTAGGATTGCTGCTGAGCAATGTCATGTCTATTGGAGGCTGGCTAATGTCAACACTGACTGGAGGCATTGTTACTGCTGTCATCTCTCCACTGGATTCCTGCAGCAGCCCTTTAACTGGGTGCCCTGCTTCCTTTCTCCGTGCCTGCTGTCTCCAACCCACCTGTTCTCACAGAGCGCCTAAAGTTCTCATTGTAAAGTAGAAATGTCGCTTCCCTGTCCAGAGCCTTGCTGTGGCTTCCTGTCACACTAAGAATAGTTAAGTCCAGAGTCCTTAACCTTGCCTGTGAAGCCCCGTGTCACATGAACTGTTTCTCATCTGCTCTCCTTTCTTCATTTCAGGTCTTTGCTCAAATATCACTTTTTCAGTCGCCTTCCCTGACAGCCCTCTCTAAAAGAGCACTGAGTTGGCTCAACCCCTTATCCTGTTTGGATTTTCTCCATAGTCACTTCCCAACTAGGATGTAAGTACCACGAGGGCAGGGATTTCATTTTGTTCTCTGGTATATATTTCCAGCACCAAGAACAGGGCCTAGCACTGCGGGCACTCAGTATTTGTTGAATGGCTGAATGAACGAACAAACAGCTGTGTGTACTACCTGTGTTCTCCCTAAAAATGATTTGTCCTTTCTTCCTTCTTTACCTGTATCTCCACTGCCTAGTGACAGAAGTCAGAGTATGTTACTTTTTATGGTTGACTGACTGAATGAATCATGAATGTGTGGTGGAACCAGTCTGCCCTGTTGTGGGACTTCGCTGGATGCCAGCTGTACCTCCTGCGCACCTCTCCATTGCACGCAAACTTCTATCCCACCCTTCCACTTGATGAAGCTCTTATTTTTTTTTTTTAAAGATTTTATTTATTTATTTGAGAGAGAGAATGAGACAGAGAGAGAGAGCATGAGATGGGGGAGGATCAGAGGGAGAAGCAGACTCCCTGCTGAGCAGGAAGCCCGATGCGGGACTCGATCCCGGAACTCCAGGATCATGACCTGAGCCGAAGGCAGTCGCTTAACCAACTGAGCCACCCAGGCGCCCTTGATGAAGCTCTTATTAAAGTCGATCTGGGGGCGCCTGGGTGGCTCAGTTGGTTAAGCGACTGCCTTCGGCTCAGGTCATGATCCCGGAGTCCCGGGATCGAGTCCCGCATCGGGCTCCCTGCTCGGCAGGGAGTCTGCTTCTCCCTCTGGCCCTCCTCCCTCTCATGCTCTCTGTCTCTCATTCTCTCTCTCGCAAATAAATAAAAAAAAATCTTAAAAAAAAAAAAAAAATAAAAAAAAAAAAATAAAGTCGATCTGGTTACTAGAGTCAATGGACCTTTTTTTCACTTTTTTCAGCCTGTTTATTACTCCGGGTCCTGTTGATCCTGCTTCTGTGTCTTGCCTCCCATTTCCGCCAACACAGCCCAGATTCAGGCCTGATCATTTCTCACTTCAGTAACAGAGTAACCTCCTAAAACTGGTCCCCCTGTTTCCAGAGTACTCCCTCTCCTTCCACACTGTTGCCAGGATGATCTGTCTAAAAGACAAAAACAACCAATTAAGACATTTATGGAACAATTGAAAATTTGAACATGTCTGGATATTTGATAATATATTTTTTTATTTGTAGGAGAGAGAGAGCACAAGCAGGGGGAGCGACAGGCAAAGGGAGAAGCAGGCTCCCCATTGAGCAAGGAGCCTGATTCAGGACTCGATCCCAGGACCCTGGGGTCATGACCTGAGCCGAAGGCAAGACCCTTAACCCTCTGAGCTACCCAGGCATCCCTGGATATTTGATAATATTAAGGAATATATATATATGTTGTATTAATGGGGATGGCATAATGGCTGGGAATATTCATCTTTTCTTCATAATAATATAGGGGTAGGGGAAGTGGATAAAGGGTGTGGATGGATTGTGATTGGCTATGGGCTGATGTTGGAACTGGGTGATGGGTACACGGGGGCTCATATTATTCATTCTCCTTTTGTGTATGTTCAGAATTATATGGAGGGAAAGTTAAAAAAAACTAAGTGTTATCATATCGTTCTGCTTGAAAATCTTCAGTGACTACTTAGGCTAGAGTCCAAACACCTATGGTACACCTGCTTTTTCTGACCTGACCCTGACACTGGGTTCAGCCTCTGGGGTCTTGCATTTGTCTTTGCATACGCTGTGTCCAGCTCCATGGAGCCTGTGATACCTTGAGTTCACAGTCTTGTCTCCGTGCCTCTGTATGTGCTGTTCCTCAGCCTGGAGTGCCTTGCTCTCTCTGCTCTCTGGCTTTCCTTATCCCTTCTGTACTAGGTCAGGTATCACCCTCTCTAGAAAGCCTCCCCTGGGGTGAGTGGAAGCATTCTTCCCATTATCGGAATTGTCTGTCTCCCTCTGCTAGCCTCTCAGCTCTTTGAAGATAGGGACAGTCTCTCTTATGTGTCCCTGCAAGCACTTGGCACTCGATAAATGATTGTAGAATCTTTAAATTCCCAACACCCAGCACGGCACTCAACACGTGCTCGATCAGTGTGCGTTGGATGAATGCTGTTGACCAGGAACTACTGTGTATTTACTTGGTGGTGCAGGGATAGAAGCTGCACTCCCCAAGGTGTGGAGGTAGGGGTGGTAGTTGATAGTAGAACTGGTTGGCAGAGGATGAGCAAGAGCTGGGGACGGAATCATCAGAATTGTCTCCCAGCTTTTGTTTTTTTCTCTGCAGGCATGGGTTGGAATCGGAGCCTGAACCCCGACCTGACAACAACCAGCATCATGTGGTTACTAATTTTAACTGCTCTTCATTCACCTATTGATGCCTCCCAGAAAAAAACGCCGCCAGCCTTCCCAGAAAGCCCAGCTGCTATTCCAAGAACCACCACTGGAGGGCCCCAAACACCATTATGGCTCTCCCCAGTTTACCATCACCCACACTAGACAGGTGCCCAGCAAGCCCATTGACCATAACACCGTCACTTCCTGGGTAGGCCATGGGATTCTTACTTTGACTTTTGCTCTGTTAGCCTTCGTAGAATGCTGCCCCTTCTGCCCCTTAAACCAGGGCCTCCAAAGATTCATGGGAGCAGGGACAAGAGGCAATGTATTCTTTCTGTCATCAGCCATCTTCTCGGGGATATCTTCTTTTCTAAGTTCAAGCTGAGGCAAGGGCTGGTTGGAGTTGGAGTCTTTCCCCCCACATTCTTCTTAAAGAGTTCAATATAAAAGTTTCATTGTTACTCGGTAGCTCAGTGAAGAAGCCAGATAAATGGCCGAATGAATAAAAAATGAGATTGTTCCCCAAGTGTCACTTGAGAGGTAAACTATTTAGCTAGGTACTATATTTATAGTTTAAGAGAGTGAACCTGGAAAAAACCCCACAGAAATGGCATGTATTTTGACAGTTTCAAGGCCCTAGGAAGAGAATATAGCTACTGTCAGGAAAGTGGTATAACCAGAGGGCCAGACAAAAGCATAAACTTCACATAAGAGTGCTTAATATATATAGCTTGTTCAGGATTGCTTGGAAGAACCATAATACTTGCTTTGGGATTGTAGAAGAAATTGAGATGTTAGAATCCCATGGATGAGAAGAGGAATGGACACTTACTGAGGACTCGCCATGTGTCAGGTCTTATGCTAGTTGCTTTCCATACATGATCTCACTCCCTATTCTTGCACTCAGCATTCACTCTACAGGGGGCCTTCTTCATGCCAGGCACTCTGCTAGGTGCTGGGCATCAAAGGTGAGGAAGACTGCTGGTCTCTGCCCTCAAAGTTTAAAGATACACACGTTGCAGCTGTATGGTGTGATAAAGCGAAGGAGGCATTGTCCCCTTTCTTACACACAAGGAAACGGAAAGCCAGAGAGATCGAATTACTTGCCCAAAGCTCATATCCCTTTCTTTTAATATCCCATTAGACAAATACTTCGTTTTGTGTCCATTACTATAGTGGGCCCCCATTTAGAATTCTGGTCCTTGGATATAGTTTCCTCCCTCAGGTTCGTTCGTACTTGGTAGCTGGCTCTCCTCACTTCTTTTTGGTTTTTGTTTTTAATCCTAAAGGTATCACCTCAGTTTGATATGACAGCAGAAAGCTGGTTCCCGGTGAACCAGAAATGTCATCATCGAAACCAGGCAAGACATGCAAGTCGAAAATCTACCGCCTCCAAGTTCCCACATCTAACATTTGACAGTCCACTGTTTTCCTCTTGTTCAGCCACACTTGGGATCCCCTTAAGCAGGGAATGCCCCGGTCAATCAGAAAAGCAAATTTCTGGAAGGCCCTTAGTTCCAATGCTCAGTCCTCAAAGCTGTGGGGAAGTGTCAGCACATGCGCTTCAAAACTTACCTTATGTATTCATTCCCCCTGATATCCAGACCCCAGAGTCCTCGTTTGTGAAGGAGGGGCCTGTTCCCCCAGGTCAGAGGGAAAGTAGCCTTCCGAGCTGCTCCTTCCATGCTAGTACTCCCAAGAGCCCAGAGCCTGGGCCTGTTCTAGTTAAAGACACTCCTGAGGAGAAGTATGGGATCAAGGTCACATGGAGGAAACGACACCACTTGTTTACTTACCTCAGGGAGAGAGGGAAGCTGAACAAAAACCAGTTCCTTGTGAAAAACTCACTGGATTTCTCCGGCACCAGCAGTCTCAAGAAATTTTCATAAAGTTGCTAAAGTACTTTTCTGGTTCACAGGAGAGTACAACAGGAGGATAAAATGGAAATAGTACCAATAACCTCAATAGAAAAAAAGATGTTTTAACCAGAACCTTGGAGTCGTAAGGGAATTCAGTTCCCAGATTTGCTTTTTAAGATGTCTTTTCCTAAAAAGTTTTTAGTGTCATAAACAGTTCATATTTTTCTTAACATTAACTGTCTAAAATTTTAAAGTATCTTGTAGTAACTATTTAAAATGTATGTAAATAAATGATTGCAGAAAGGTTTTAGAGAACCCTGCTTCTGATTACTGATCATGCAGCAATACTGCCTTCTCCACAGTCTTTCTTTGTTGTTTTTCTAAAACTACTAGTTAATCCTCTAATCACCTCCTCCAAACTAATTCATTCCACATTTTTGAGTACCAACTCTGTGTCAGGCTCAGCAGCAGCTTCCTTTATGACATGATGGACAGGAAAAATAAAAGCAAACTCTGTGACTTTGTAGCTGAGCTGCCACCTCTACAACCTTGCTCATCTGCTAAAAGGCCAAGGTGAGGAAAGGCAGCAAGCCCTGTTTCACTGAATACAGTGGGGTTAGGGGCGATAAAGGGGACATAGATAAGTTACTTAGGTTTGTTGTGTTTTGGTTTTCTATTTCCATTCAAAGAAGTCTGTAAATGCCAAATAGGGTGGGAAAATGATTTCTTGAAATGTATGTAATTAAATATGGGAACTTTTCAGAGAAGACTACTTTCTGTAACTAGAGCAGTACTGCCCAGGCAAAAACTCTCCTTTGCCCTTTGACCAATACGGATAGCATCTCTTTCAACTGTATCTGTTCAGTTTTAAGAACCTACTCTGTCTGGTCTAGCCAGAGCTAAACAAGCAGGGATTATTCTGTTTATTTCATAGATGGGAATCTGAAGCCCAGATAAAGGACTGTGTTTAGGGTCACACAGGGAGTGGAGGCTGACACTTTGAGACGATGCTCTGCTCTCCTAGCTTGTGCCAACTTCTGTGCCTCTTAGAAAGGCAAACCCAACGTGGAAACAGCTGACCTCCGAATGCTATAAACCCAACATGCGATAACTTTTGCCAGGATGTTTTGCAGGGGTTACAATGATTGTGTAAATTGGTGGTGAGAAAGGAAGTGGAGACAAGATTTATTGGAAACGAGAGTATATAGATGGCAAATCTCATGGGATACGGATGTTTGAAGATCGACCATAGGCCCGTAGAGAGATAATGGGAAAGGTTCTTAAAGTCTGTAGAATTGGTCTAGCAATGCTCTAAAAAGCTTGGGCTGGAGTGGGGGAGGCTGAAGGAGTTTTGTGCAGTTGGAATGAGAGACCAGATAACTATGAAAGATGCATTTAACGGCGGATGACTGCGGGAGAGGGTACGGGGTGCTTCCCAGAAGTCTCCGGTGTCGGGAGGGGCCGGATCGTGAGGGAGCCGGCAGAGGTCTGTGAGTGGGTCCTAACATTACAGACCTCTGGAAAGCACTCTGGGTGGTCTCTGGGTACAAACGTCGGGGACGCGGGGGAGGCCGCTCCGTGGGTGGCGGTTAGGGGGATGGGCCGTTCCTCCGACGAACTGGCTTCCCCGCCGCTGGGAGCCAACGCAGCTGTAGCGAACACATCCCTCCGTCCTCCGCCCCCCGCCCCGCCCCCCTGCCCCCCAGCGGCTCCATCCCATCCCCGAGACGCGCTCCAGGGACCCAGCCCTACCTAGCGCGTCACCAGAGTTCGGGCGCAGGCGCCTTTAACTCCTGGCGCCTCCGCCCCCTAGAAACCCTCCCGCATCGCCGGGCAGCAGCAATAGCCAATGAGAGACGAGCGACGGGCACGAGGACCAATAGGCGGTGGCAACAGTGCAGGGTGCGGTTGCTAGGGGGCGGGGCCCGGCCGCCTGCCAGACTTGCCACCCTAGCAGCGGCGCCTGGGGTTCTGAACTTGGTTGCCACTTCCTGAGCCGCGGGGATGGAGGCGTCGCGCTGCCGGCTCGGACCCCGCGGGGACAGGTCCGAGAGGGGTGGTGGCTGGTCTCGTCTCGAGCGGGGCGGAAGGACGGAGTGAGACCGTGGCGGTCCTCTGGGAGCTTTGAAGAGAGGGCGGTGGGCTCGGTCGGGTCGGGAGGGACGGATTTGGCGGCAGGAGGCGAGTCTTCTGTCCCCCACTCCGCGGTGGAGGATCCCCTTTTTACCGGTGAGCGGGAGGAGGCAGCGGCTCTGCAGCCTTCACCGAGAGCAAGGACTTTGTGTTCAGGTCCTTGCTTGGGAAACTCTTGGGGTTTTCGTTACGAGCTCGTCTTGCTCTCTGTGGGCCTCGCTTACTCAAAATGCGTTAGCCCTGCTCCTCACGCACCGCCCGGCAGTGTCATAACTGAGGTGGATGAAGTCTTTCCCGGGGGTGTCGAAGCGTAAGGTTCGGGGTGATATTTAATCATTTGCTCTAATGCCATTGCTTTTGGCAGGCGGTGCTGAATTTTGGAACGGAGTCCGAGGGCCGAAGGTGCAAAACTAATCTTTTGCTTCTATCTGCTTTATAGTAATTCTATTTAGGATTGTTCGTCTTATTTGCAATGTACCATACCCCTTGTTTGCGCTCCGCTTTCCTGCCTCCGCCAGAGGGAGAGCCTGGGAAATAAAACAATCCGAAATCTCAGTCTGTCAATTTCTTGTTAGCTAGGTTAATGAAAAGTTAAGGAGGAGCGGCATGAAATCATTGGCTTCAAACTTTGGCACTGTCTGAGGATTGAAATCATACACGCCAGCAGTATTCCCCGCTTTTTATTCCGTTACCATGGCAAATAAAGATGTAGCCTGTAAGGATTTAGTCTATTTAGATGAGTAGATATTTAAACAATTCTAAACCATTTAAAAACGTCACAAGGAGGTGTTGGGCATGGAGAACACCCATTTTCCCCTTTCGTCAGATTTTATTTACGTGATAGCTGCGATCTGAGAGATTTGTTCACTGCACTTTCTTTTTTTCGAGTTGAGAGAAAAATAACCCACGTTTACTAGTATAATTATGGAAGTGCTAGGAGGACGTAAAGTTAAAATTCCGCGTCTTTGTTGAATTCAGATGGTATATGTTCAGTGTGGACATTCAATAAATTAATTTACAGCAATAAATTTCTTGGGTACCAGATGTTGGATATATGACTCATGGTTTTGGGGGAAGGGGGATTGACTGAAACTGAGACCAGGAGGCAAAGTGGTTTTTAATTTATTGGACCTGAAGTTTAAAGGGATAATTTTAAAGTTTTCCCCTCTTTTTCTTCCCAAAGAAAACTGACCTTTAATTTAAAAACTGACATCAAAGGTGTGAGTCACCAAATGTTTCTCCTGCCCTAGGTAATATTAAGTGCAGTTTCTATCACTGTTTAACTCAGTTGTTGCTGAGAAGGAGTGGAATGTCTCCTATTTTGGCTTCAGGTTGTATGCTTAATGTTTTTGATGAAATACATTGATAGAGTTTTTGGTATTAATACCTTTCGATGTGAAGTATAACATCTGACTTTTAAGTTTCCTGTGATTTTTTTTTCCTTTGAATTTTACCATGAGGCAGATTTCTTTTCAATGAAATGGAAAAATTACTAACAAACTTCAAATATTTTTCCTATTTCTGAAATATCTAGTGAAAATTGGAATTTGAAACATCACTCTCAGGACCTTTGTTGAAGCTAGGTATTTTATATTACAGCTTCCCGACCTTGAGCTTTCTCTGGCCTTTTGTCCCTGATACAGTTGAAGGTATGGTGAGAGATTTCTCGGTGTGATGTGACCGTGTGACCCAGTTGACTAAGGAAGTCCTAGTCTGTGGTTTATCTATGTTTTCTCTTTAGAAATATGAGCAGTTTTAGTAGCTGGAGGTTATGTATTGTCCGGGCTTGTTATCGTCTCTGACGTTCTCTCTTTTTTGAAGATTTATTTATTTATTTTAGAGAGTGTGTGTGCACGTGAGCGCGACAGAGCAGGGGGAGGGGCAGAGGGAGAGAATCCTGAAGCAGACTCCCTGCTGACCTGGATCCCCAGGACCCTGACAACATGATCTGAGCCAAAACCAAGGGTCAGCCACTTAACCTTCTGCACCATCCAGGTGTCCCTCTTTCTTTTTTGAATGTTTCATCAGATCAACTAATTGTGGGCAAATAGAGACTTACCCGGTGCTTAAATATACTCAGAGTAACTAATCCATGACTGCAGTATGTTTGGCAGATATTGAAAACTCCTAATAACATCAAACATGCATGTATTTTTCCAAATGTGAAAGCTACATGCAGACCTGGAAAGGAGAGGATAATCCTCTGCAGTAAACTTTCTTCTTTCTGACAGACTCAGACATTTTTTGGAATAGTTTTTATTTCTGACTTTGCTTGTTCTTTCCTATGGAAACTCTGCCGTTTTCCCTGCATCTGTGCCCATTGAAAGAAAATGCTAACGTTTGTTCTTACTAAGGGGAAAAGTATGCTTGAATTACTCAGAGGCAGAGTTGAAGTTGCTTTGCTTCTCCGTTTTTGAGGATTTTAGGACTAGAAGGGGCCTTGATAATTCCCTTCATTCTCCTGTTTGAGAATAGTAGAAATGGCTTCTTTCAAACTAGAATTTCCTTTGCTCTGCTTGTGCTTTATTTGCTTTATTTCCTCCGAATCAATTCACTAGAAATAAACTCTTTGTTCTACTAAATTTATTCTGCCTCATCAGACGTCCTTACTGTCAGTAATAATGAAGCCTGCAAAATTTTCCTGGCCCAGTTAAGGCTTAGATCTATATATGCCTGAGAGACTACGCCCTGTCCACATGCTGATCGATGTGCTGCCTTTATTTACCCACTTTAATACCTGCCATGAGGGCTTGATAATGAGGGTTGCCATCTCTGTCTCTCTGCCTTAGAACTTCTGGGAAAACATGAATGATGAGTACTGTGTCACGTGAGTCACAGAACCCCTGGAAGACCACGGTTCTGAAGAGGATTATAGTAATACTTTTATTGTTTCTAAGATGGCATTTGCTGTTTGACCACATGGCATTGTGGGAGGCACTGGAAACTTCCACTGGGTTCCTGAGTTCTAGTTCCAGCTTTTTCACTCTCTGGCAGTGTGATCTTGAGCAGCTCATCTACGTTTTTGGCTTCAGTTTTCTCCTCTGGAAAATGAGGGCTTCTTTGGATTCCCTCAGTGATTTATAACGAATTAATAAAATGACATATATATATTTTTAATAGCATATGGCTCAAATTTCAAAAGATAGAAAATGATATTCAGTGAAAAGTATGTCTTACTGTCTCCATGTGACCTTGTTCATTCATTGGTGGACATCTTAGGGGACCTTCCAAAGATACTGTGTTAAATCTACAAATATTCCTTTCCCACTCCTAAAATTTGATGATTTTGAGTTTTAGGGTAAAATATAATACTCTAAACCCTACTATCTACTTTCATCATTGACAAGAGGTGTTTTTAGAATATGAACTATAGTTCCTGCAAGTTTTTTTTTTCCCTGTGGTAATTAAAGTATAGAAAATAGGACCATAAGTAGTATTTTTCAGACAGTCTTCTAGAAAAATAAATCTTGCTATTCAGCTTTTCAGGAATAAACTTCAGCATATAGTTTGCCTTTGATTTTAGGTTTTAGAATGCAATCAATTTAATAGAGGATTGACTTGTTTCCCTATTGAAACATAGTGTAATTTTGTTATGGCAATGCCATATGAGCTAGAGATAAAGTAGGAGGTTTTTTTTGGCTGAGTAAAGGTCTTAAGCTGTGTTATTTTAAAAGGGAAGATCTGTCAAAATAAAATAATCAGTAATAAGGCTTACATTTGGGTATCCTTTGCTGCCTTCATAGTGTGTCACTCATTTGATCTCTTTTGAGCTTCATAGCTCTGAAGAAAACAGGGCTGGTGTTGTGGTCTTCATCTTATAGGTGGGGAAGTTAAAAATGAGAAAGGATGTGAAATACCTAAGGTCACATGACAAGTAAATGATGCAGTCGAAAGTAAAATTCAGAAGTAAAATCCAGGCTTTTGACTTCTAGTCCCTCTTCCACATACCGCCCGCCCCAACCATGTATTATCAAAATATCTATTCCAAGTATTCTGGATGCCATTTTTACAAATAAATGATAACAGTGGATACTGATTACATTCTAACTATTTTTAGGATGAGCAGTTGAAGAAATCAGACATTTTAGCGAAGTATTAATTTCATCCAATGGAAAGGGAGTGGAAGTATGTCTTTGGTATCGTTAGACAAACAAATGCACTTTGATCTTTATCCAAGAAATAGAAGGGGAATAAGAAACATTCCTGAGTAACATCCCTTTTTAAATCTAGAAAGAAGAAATTCATTCTTTGACTTCTGAATCAAATTATACATTTAAAATAACCTTTCTGTTTGGTTCACTCAAAAGAATGTTTTTACTTTTACTCTGTGGAACATGCAAAATGAAGAGGGGTTCACTCTAAAGTAATTTTTCTTGCTGCATCATTTGGGGCCAAATGAATGATTAAATCAGTTACCAACTTTTCCTTCTCATTGCCTCTCTCCCCGCAAACAATTCTCCCTTCTTTCTGAAGAAAAGAAATGGGCCCACTAAATGGGCCTCTTAGGAAATGGATTTTCATTCCCTAGCTTCAATTATGTTAGTTCCAGATTGTGGCAGTCATTCAAGTAGGAGACGGCTGAGCCTAGAATACTAACATTTGTCCTCAGATGAGGAAGGATAGGTTTCAAAGGAGTCTTTTCTGGCAGTTCTAATTTGATCTTCATGTGCCTTTTCCCAGAAGCAGTGTTTTGTTCTAGCCAGAGGTGTTCTTGGTGGCTCAGTACATGTAAAAACACAGCCTTCCCGTAATGACATTTGGGATTGGGACAAGGTGAATCTATTTGTCAATTGACTTAGAGAAAATTACTTTATTAATAGCTATTGCCCCACCTACCTGACACCGGAATCGGTTCAGACAGTGAAATCAGACTATATACAACTAATCAACTCCTCCCATGGGTTTCCTCAGAATCCACTCACTGGCTTAGAAATTCTGCTACCTAAAAATACCAAATGAACTGGGATTCTGACTGAAAAGATACTCAACAGACTTATTGAAATACCATAGTGTGAAATTCCAGAGTGTGCTGACCATTGGAGTACATGTGGTTAATGGTGCAGTTTAGCATGCTGAGTTGTTCTACTTTTTGGTTATTTTGAATAATGCTGCTATGAACATTAGTGTCCAAGTCTTTGTGTGCACATATATTTTCATTTCTTTTGCATATATACCTAAGTGGAGTTGTTGGGTCATATGGTAACTCTATGTTTTACAACTTGAGGAACTAGCAGACTTGTTTTCCAAAACTGCTGCAACATTTTATATTCCCCGCAGCAGAGGTGTTGGGGTTCGTTTCTCTACATCCTCGCCATCACTTGTTATTGTCTATCTTCTTGATTATAGTCCTCCTCATGGATGTGAAATAGCATCTCATTGTGCTTTTGATTTGCATTCCTTTAATGATGATTAATTGAGCTTTTTTATGTACTTATCGATCATTCCTATATTTTTAGAGAAATATCTGTTCCTTTACTCTGCCTGTTTTTAAATTGGGTTGTCTTTTTATTACTTAGTTGTAAGAGTTCTTTATAGGTATTCTGGATACAATTTCCTATCAGATAAATGATTTATAGATATTATCTCTGTCGGTGGATTGCCTTTTCACTTTCTTGATGGTGTCTTTTGAAGTGCAAATGTATTTTATTTTGATATAGTCCAATTTATTAATTTTTCTTTTTATCTCTTTTGTTTTTGGTGTTGTACCTAAGCAATCATTGCCTAGTCCAAGTTCACAAAATTTAGTCAGATGTGTTCTTCTAAGGTTTTTAAAGTTTAAGCTCTTATATTTAGGCCTTTGATTCATTTGGTGTATGCTGTGAGGTAGGGGTCCAAATTCATCCTTTTGGCATTTGGATATCCAGAACCATTTGTTGATAAAACTATTTTGAACCTGTTTTTAAAACTGAAGTGTCATAGACTACTTTCCAACTTAGTACCTCTAGATCTACTTTATTCTTTTTAATGACCACAAAGTATTATTTTCATAAATGTATCTTATTAATTGCTCACCTGTTGACATTAATATTATCTTGGGGGGGTTCTATTGAAAACAATGAAAAATAGCATCCTCATTACATGTATCTTTATATATTTGGCCTAGTATTTTGTAAACTTTGTATGTTTGGGGATGCGGTGTTTAATTTTAGTAGAGGCTGCTAAATTTCCCTCCAAAAAGGTTATAAACTTTTTCTTCAGCAGACTGTGAATGCCCATTTTTAAAGTGGAGCAATTACCATTCATTCTTGTTGCTCAATCCATTATATGTACAGATTGAGTACCCAGTAGGCACTTAGTAAATATTGACAGGCGATAAAGATAAGGGCAAAATTGAGGGGCTCCCTGCAGTTTGGATTAGAGTCACTTTAAGCTGGTCATTGAGACAAAGACTATAAAGCCAACTAATGCAAAATTCAGCAGCTAAAAGAAAATTGACATATGAAAGTAGGAACAAAGGTAGCCAAGGTTATGTAGGTGATATTCTTATGTTCTTTACAGATTAAATAAAGCATATTGTTTGTGGAGTCCAAGATGTTTACTGGCAATTATGATAAAGGATTGCCACAAAAACTGTTCCAGAAGTATATAACAAAAGAAATTTTGATTGACAGGTATAAGAGTTGTAGTTAGCAAAATATAATTGAATGTATGATGGGAAGATTACCACCTTGGAAGTGCTGAGATTAATCACTGTTGTCTCTCAAATGTGGTTTGATAAGAGAATTATCAGTACAGTAAGTTCAAATTTAAGAATGTATTTGAAAATCACTGCTTCCAGCTTTTCTGATATGGAGTAATGATCTGAGACTGACTAATCTTGGCCAACAGAACTGAAGGTCGGCTATGTGACAGAAATGACACTATAGTATAATGTGAAACATTGTCCCGCTTAAGCTCATAGCTGACAGAGGAAATAAAGGAGAAAACCAAAGAACAGAGCAGAAGTCTCTATCATCTCTGGCAATGCATATGCCAATAGGGTAGGTACTATTTTATTAACTGTGAAAGGTACGGGCACCTGGGGGGCTCAGTCGTTAAGCGTCTGCCTTTGGCTCAGGTCATGGTCCCAGGGTCCTGGGATCGAGTCCCACAGCGGGCTCCCTGCTCGGCAAGAAGCCTGCTTTTCCCTCTCCCATTCCCCCTGCTTGTGTTCCTGCTCTCGCTGTGTCTCTCTCTGTCAAAAAAAAAAAAAAAAAAAAAAAAGAGTCGGCTGCTTAACTGTGAAAGGTACATCCACGGTTTTAAATTAAAAATAAAGTTTTTTCTTTAAAAAATGATTTTCGGTTTACAGTAACTTTTGTTCAAATTATTTCTCATGGTTAGGCAGTGATCTTTTATCAGTTTCTTTATTATTTTCCATAGCCATACAGCTATAAAATGGGGACAGTAATATCTAATTTTTACCTACTTTGGAAAGTCCAAAAGTAAGAGATGATGAATTAAAATATTTCTTTAAGGCATAAGTCAAAGGACTTTTTTTTCATCTAACTTTAAAATTCATTTGTTTATCAAACATTTGTTTCACATCTTCCATGTTGTAGGCATCACGTGCCATGAGCAATGCTGAGTAATGTTAGAAAGTACTGATGTTCGTTAAGTTTCTTTTGTAATTTTGCTTTTCTTTTGAGTGTTAGAGGTTTGTCTCAAGAGTCATAAAAGAAATGACTATGCATGTTGCTTAGCTTAGCAGAGGCACTGTTTTGGCAACTGCTCTATGGTAGTGAAAGCAAGAGAAGCCCCAGAGAAGCTTAGAAGCATAGAGTGCATCTCCTGACACCACAGCTCTAGCAAAAACGCCCTATACAAGACACTGACATGGATACATTTTGCTTCATTACCCAGAAGCTTGCACTTGAATCAAAAGTACGCACATACTCCTTAATAGATCCCTCCTAAAAGTGTCAACTGTCTTCCCGAAACTGAGCAAGTTGCTCCTGTGGGTGTTCTGGGGGTTCATGTTGCTAACCGGGATAATGGCATCAGTTTTGATTTCTAGTTGAAAAATAACCAACAGAAATTCTCAGGGTTGTGAATTCAAGACCCACATTAGGCATAGAGCTTACTTAAAAAAAAAAAAAAAAAAAATTTAGGGCTGCCTGGCTGGCCCAGTTGGTAGAGCATGTGACTCTTGGTCTTGGCCTTACCCACATTGGGTAAGAGATTACTTTAAAAATGAAAATAAAAGGGGTGCCTGGGTGCCTCAGTCAGTTGGGTGTCTGTCTTTGGCTCAGATCATGATCTCAGGGTCCTGGGATCAAGCCCTGCATCCGGCTCCCTGCTTGGTGGGGACTCTGCTTCTTCCTCTGCCCCTCCCCCTTGCTTGTGCTTGCCCACTCTCTCTCTCTTTCTTTCTCAAATAAATAAAATCTTTTTAAGAATTCTAAAAAATAAAATAAATAAACAACAAAATCGACAGTCTTTTTTTTCTCATTTTAAAATGCAGCCATTTAAGAGCTTTCAAGTGCTTGCGTCGGCAGCACATGTACTAAGCCTTCGAGCATATTTTGAGCGGGCACATGCAGTAATTAGTGGAGATCAGATAAGTGTGCTTATAACTGAGACATCGGGTTGATTAATACATAGCAGAACATTGCTGGCTCCTATATTGATTTCAACCATTTAGAGTTTCAAATTGTTTTATTCTTAGTTACATTTAGTGGGCTAAGAAATTGACTTTTAATATGTGTATTTTAAATGTCTTTACATGGTACTGTTATGAAAAAACTCAGCTTTTTCCTTTCTAGATGGGGGAAAACCCAGTCCTTTCCTACTGTGTGTTCCTTTCCTGCTATGTGTTTCTTCCCTGTGTCTCTCCTTAATTTCTCACACAGAACACTTCACTTCTGACATTTCTGGGTTTTTTTCCCCACAACAAGCAGTTCTCTCTGACACCACTTGGGTGTTCTACAATTCAACTCAATTCTGATACTGTCTAACAAGATAGTTTTGGATCCCACAGGTTAAGGGCTTGGTCCCACAAGACTGCCCCTCCCCTGCAACCCCCATTCTTCAGACGTCATTCACAAGCCCAGTTATCACCTGTGCTTCTGACCAACTGGCTATAGGCGGTAGGTTCCAAAAATCCCCTTCTTGGGTTCAATTAATTTGCTAGAGCAGCTCACAGAACTCAGGGGAACACTTAACGTTTACCAGCGTATTAAGGGATATGATAAAGGATGTGGAAGAACAGCCAGATGAAGAGATACATAGGGCAAGGCCTGGGAGGGTCCCAAGCACAGGAACTTCCGTCCCCATGGAATTGGGGTATCTCACCCTCTTGGTGTGGTTGTGTTTGCCAACCTGGAAGCTCTCCAAGCTCTCTACTTGTGGAATTTAATGGAGGCTTCATCAGATAGGCATTATCAATCATTTTCAGCCCTCCCTTTTCAAGAGAATGAGGAGTGGGGCTGAAAATTCCAAGCATCTAATCATGGTTTGATCTTTCAGGTGACCAGCCCTTCACAGGTACAAAATTCAAAAGGATTGAAACAGTACGTAATGAAAAGTAAAAATGCCTCCCTTTCCCCTACCTATTTAGTTTTCCTCCCTGAAGGCAACACTGATACCAGCTTACTGTGTATCCTTCCAAAGATTGTCTGCATTGCAGATGAAAGATACGTATATATTTTTTTCTTTCATAAATGGTGGTAAATACTCCCCAATTATCTGCACCTTGCCTTTTTTCAATTAGTAAAACGTCTTGGAAATTGTTCCAAGTCAATATCTCTATATTTCTATATTTTATTCATGTCAGTGCTTTTTTTTAAACAGTGGCATGGTATTCCATTGTATGGATATGGTCTCAGTCCCTATTGATGAACATTAGAGTGTGCTATCTTGTTATTACAAACAGTGCTACAGAGTCATATAAAGTTTATAATCATATGGGGCGCCTGGGTGGCTCAGTCGGTTAAGAGACCAACTCTTGATTTCAGGTCATGCTCTCAGGGTTATGAAATTGAGGCCTGTATGTCAGCCTCTGTGACAGCCTGCTTTGGGCTCCCCACTGGCTGTGAGGCCTGCTTAAGATTCTCTCTCACCCTCTCTCAAAAAAAAAAAGTTTATAATCATACTGGACAGTTGGCTACAGTTGGGAAATCCTAAGTCAATAAAGAGTATAAATTTGCCTGAAGAGTTTCTCTAAGAGTGTAAGTTGCATTCACTAGTGATCAGAAATTTTATATTTCATACCAACATATTTTTAACATTTCAAAAAACTAATGTTAGGGCGGGCGCCTGGGTGGCTCAGTTGGTTAAGCGACTGCCTTCGGCTCAGGTCATGATCCTGGAGTCCCAGGATCGAGTCCCGCATCGGGCATCCTGCTCAGCAGGGAGTCTGCTTCTCCCTCTGACCCTCCCCCCTTTCATGTGCTCTCTCTCTCTCTCATTCTCTCTCCCTCAAATAAATAAATAAGATCTTAAAAAAAAAAAACCCTAATGTTAGAGCAAATATGTGATGATTGTATACAATTGAACTTCTTATTTGTTGAGGGTAAAGATATAATGAAACCCTAGGAGCTATTGGAAGTTTAGAGTGGAGAGAGGGAAAGAGTGGGACTTGTGTTTGTTACTTTTTTTTTCTTACTTCATTGACACTATTTCTGATAATTCCTTATGGAAGTTTCACTGTAAAAATCACTGCCTCCTCTTTGATGAATTATACTACCAGAGGCCGCCCATTTTATTTGTAGCTGCTTGAATGTATTGAGTGCCCATTATTATTTTATAAGTAGTAGTAGACCATTTTATTTTGACACAGAGATTTTCTTTAACATTTATTAATGTTCGTGTCATTAAATATAAGCTATTTTGAGCAGTACCTATATCTCAAACTCTTATGTAGCATATAGACAAGGTAGAGATTCAGAAAACAATACAGATTTAATGTGTGCTTTCTATGTACCTGACACTATTCTAATCATTTTCTTACTAATTTGTTCAAATCTTATATAGTCATATGAGATAATTATTATTATCTTTATGCTGTGCATGGTGGGCAGAGGTTAAATAACTTGTCTGAGAGAGAAAGTAAAGGATCTGGGATATTAAAAAGCCAGGAAATCTGGATCCAGAGGCTGTCCTTGAAACTATTCCTCTGTAAAGTTGATTGACTTTACTTTCATTCTTAGATGTTTTATGAGATCATTATAATTATCCCCTTTGTTAGGGAAGGAAAATGTAGAGAAGTAAGATTGTTTGCCCAGAGTATGTTTATGGAAGGGAGGCCTAAAGTTAGGGTATTGATAGGCAAAGATGCCTGGGGGAAGAGGATAGATTTTATCTTCTGGACTTTGAATGGGCTTTGTATCAAATAAATAAATAAGAAACACCATTCTGCCATTCATTGCTCAACATGTTGAGCAATCACTGGTTTGACTATGGTTTAAGAAAGCAATTTATATGTGTAAGTAAATTGTTCTTGTCCTTTCTACTTAATCTGTCAACGTAGTGGCTTTTTTATCTTTCCACAACAAAACAATTCACAAGGAAGGGTGGGTGGTTTAAAAATAAAATAGAATTGAGGTAGCAGGAAACAAGAATGATTATTCACTCTGCTCTGTAGAGAGGAATTGTATTATGTGTCCATGTCAGCGCCAGAAGAAACTTCGCAGGAGTCATGAGCATTATGGTCTGCTTCACTTACTGAATTTCACTGGTTTTTAAATTCAATTTTAGGATTCTTGTAAATATAGTGCAGTCTTGCAGTGCTCTTTATTTTTGATATTTTGTCATCTGACATCCCATAGAAAGGCGCAAACTTCAGAATGATGTTGTTCATTGAAAGAATTGGTCAGGAAAAAAAACAGAAGGAAGCCTCAAGAAACAAAGACTAGGTACTATATTTGGGGGAAAAGAGGAATCTCTTCATTGGTGTTAGTAAAGGTCTGATATTTATTAAAGTAAGTCTTTGCTGAACAACTCCAGGGAGGTGGGTAAAGTGGGGACTTGGGGGTGGATGCATGTGGGGAAGGAATGCTTC